CACTCTATTGATTTTAGTGAATTTGCTCAACATGATTCTCTTCCAATTGTTGCATCATCATGCCTGAAAGAGAAAACTGACCGAAAACCATAAAAAGATTAATTAGCAGTAAGGTAAATTCCTGCTATAGTGCGGCCCTGTCCCAAATGGCACCCTAAGCACTCGCGGTCTTCCTCTGAGTCCGCACTTTCATGACGTAACGCCGCTTTGACTGTCGGGAAGACGTCTGCTGCGGAACTCGCATCGAGGGTGCAAATCGACCGCATAATAAACAGTAACTCGCCAGCACCCTTCTGAGACCTAAAATGACAAATGGGACATTCTATGGTCTCACGGACTTAACAGATACGCACACACGGATACGCGGCAGCCATTGTAAGTCCACAAGACCGAAAGTGCACATGAAGTGTGCCATTTGGGACAGGGCCTGCCTCTTGTGGCAACACTGAGATGACTAGCAGTTGCACTCCATCCCTGCGTCTCAATGTCCATACTATCCATCCTAAACAGTATGTGAGATTAAAATAAGTGTGTCCCAAAAAATAGTATGTTGAAAAGAGCATGCCAGACGTCCCCGGATGGTCTACTATTTCCAGTGGATTTTCCAAGTGTGGATCCTCGATTTTCGAAATCCTCACTATAAAAGCTAATATTACCCACAACCCATTGCGCTTTGGAGGAGGAACTACAAGCACGAGTAAAAAGTGTTAAAGTACTAAAAACAATGGCGGATATTCGCGAGGTTTAGATAAAGGTTTGAGTCACTAATCAAAGTTTAACCTGCTAAAAAAATATTTTGTTATCCATGCTATATTTCAACTGCAAAAACAATGTGGACTTTTATAAAGATCCATTTGACCCTTAACTTTTAAATACATTAACATGAGGAGAGTCTCTGCATGAAAGACCAGCGACTGCAGATCAACATGCTTCTGCATTTCTCTCCGATACAGAAGGAAATGAAATCAAATGAAATGTGGAGGATTTTAACTGTGACAAGATGACTGACAGGCCTGTTTACTGTGACAGGATGCGACAGAGAGCATCCGTTAAAGACGCAATTGTATGACGTGATAGTAGCCTATGTCCCAAAGCTTGTCTACTTTTTGCTACACACTCAAAAGTATCTACTTTTTCTTCACAAAAAGAGAATATTTTAGGGTGTAGTATAGGCGAATTGAGACACAGCGGCTGCATCCGAAAGGCAGCTGACTTGTTGCCTCGCTGCCCTATCGAGATGGTCCTCACTGCAGAACATGAAATCCAGGGGGAGGAGTTGGATCCAGATCCAACTCCTCCCACCTTACATATACCTAAACCTACCCATCTCCGCCCCCTGGATCTCGTGTACTGCAATGAGGTGCTACTGGCCCTATCAGGCAATGACTTTGCAGGCAGCTTTTGCGCACAAAGGTTCCTCGCGAAACTGATTTCGGACAGACTTCTTAGGCAGTGTTACGGTTTAATGATCTATATACAGCTAAATAGAGCGAGCTTTGGTGAAAACTAAGTGAATTTGTAATGACTAGTCTACAATAGTAGCCTAACTTCTCGCTAGAAATGACATCATAAGTGAAAAACATTGATCAAAAATTTACATTTACACACTAACTGATGACCAGCCACAAGTTTCAGATGTCATCTTTATTTTTCTAGCTCAACTGTCACAGAATGGAAAGTACAGGATTGTGGGATATCAAAGGCAGCGAAGGATACATAGATGCCTTCAAAAATCGATCAAATGAAGGTATCTTAGGAGACAGGAAGTGAAACTAACATTGCATTCGGACGCACCTTGATGCCTTCCGACCTTGGAATGCGTCCTCCGAATGCAGCATTTATCAGTTTTCGGGCGCAGCCTAAGACTGTCACATTTCTGAACAGTCAAGTTTATGTAGAGTTTAATTTGGACACATACAAATACTTACATATTACATAAATAGACCAGTGAAATACAACGAAAGAAAATCCCCCAACACTATCATTGTAAATCAAAGGGTTGTTTAATGATCTCAGATGTAGTTGGTTTTATAACCTGGTAAGCTTCATAATTGAGTTCCAGTGGTGCATTAAAGTTAATTCACCAAAGCCCCTATAACTTCAATTCATATCCCCTATTTCAACTTGCCATTGTTTTCCAAGAGATTGACTGTCTGCAACCACATCATACCTACCATGAAGCCCTCAGGCTGCTGTAATTGAACCTGAGTCTCAACATGGCTTGGTGTGAATTGCACAGCATTCTTGTGGTTATTACAAGGTGAGATATTTTTGAAACACAAACGAGTAATATTATCCTACGGCCCTAAAGATTACAAACTATGTTATTTCATTTCCAGGAAACATGGAAAGTCTCAAGACAGTATCGTACTCAACCTAACAGTTCAACAAATCAAATGCCTATTGCATTACAAAGAGAAAGATCTTTGGATGGAGTTTTTTGTTCCAGCTTCTGTTTGTGGGCGGTTTTTACTTCTCATCTTTTTCCCTGTTACACAACAGCCGCCTCTGCCTGGAACAGAGGGTGTGGGTGAATGCTGCTGTCCATCGATCTTTATGAATATTCTGCATAACTGACCCTCGGAGACATGTCATCATAATCATTGCAATGCAAAATCAACAGAGCTGTTACTGTACCTCTTGCTCTCCATCTCTCTCATGCACAAGGTAGTTAGCAACAGCACTCTATTCGCCAAGATAGCACACGTACGTATCTAAGATGTCGCGCTTTATTTGGAAAATTTCTGCTGTGTAAAAAAATCTGATAAAGGTCTTAGGAAAAGCAGTTTTATACATTCTAAATCATAAACATCTAAAAGACATTTTCAAAATGTCTATTTAACATCCACCAGGAAACGTCTTAGAGACATAGACAGATTTAAATGCAGACATCAAATAGACGTCTCTGTGATGTATGTGTTCTATCAGGGTGCTCTTCTACATGAAACACTACAAGATTATTTACAGACTTAAGACACAATTAAGCTTTCACTTTAAAAAACTACTATTGAACTTAACATTCATTGTAAAATATTAGGCTACAGTGTTTATGTAAGTTCATGTGCTTTTGCAAATAATAGCTGAATTTGGTCACGGTCATGACTCGGCTACTGATTAAAGTTTGGAGTTGAGGCTCATTGGCTACTTAAGAAAATGTTTGCTGATTAAGAATCTGCTTTAGCTTCACTGGTTATATCAGTAATCTCATGTTCACTCGTTCTCGTAAAAGATTAAATTCAGGAGATTTCGAGATAAAAACTAGTAGTTCAAGCTACTGCTTTTTGCAGTAGGCTAACCAGTTTACTGTGGCTTAGGCTAATCGATAACCTTTACCTTGACTATTCTTATTTCTTATCAGATTGACTTGTGCAGTATACTGATATAATATAGGCAATTTGTTTGTGTCATTAGAAAAGCACTGCAATAGTGGTCACGAACGATAATAGATGGTTGTCCATTACATCTCACTTTAAACGGTCAGTCGGATATGTGCACGCGAGATGGGGGTGGATAAGTGATTTGCACATCACATGAAGCAGATTTAGCTCGGTCATTGAGTAAAACGCATGCAGCGAAGCAACATACGAACGATTTGTGCTTCACATTTGCACTGCACAACCCTGCATACAGGCTCGATTCCTCCAATATGTCTTTCGTCAGTGATAAAGAGCGAGAGAGAGAGAGAGAGAGCAGATCTGGGAAGTCCAATTCGTTTTAGTGAACTGGTTCATTCTGACGGTCAGTTCAAATGAACCGAATCGCACGACTGATTCACCTGTTATATTGAGTCTTCTTTCAAAAGTAGCGACTAGTCTTTGCACGTCATTTGATAAGAAAGGTTTGATTGAAACACAATAATAATATATTATTACAAGTGATTCTCATAATGGCTTAGATCTCAGTAATATTTTAGATACACAACCTGTTTTTAAACACCTGTTTCTGCAAACAAGTATGAGCATCTGAAATTAAAATCATTTATGCATATTACTTTATGCTTAAAAGTGAATGTGTATCAATAGGCTAGGCTAAGTGTATTTCCTTGAGTGCCGCCTTCTATACGTTTTTTTTTTCTAGAAATTGAGACACTTAATGCATTTACAAAAATAAATAAAAATGAAACACTAACAGGGCCTAAATTTAATAGAGATACTATTTACAATGTAGGTAATGTCTATACACTCCTAAATATTATGGATCTTGAATTTGCTTCTTGGAAACAGGGAACATAATTACTTTCTTTCTTTTCAGAATATTTATTTTGTGTTAATATTGTATTTTGAAGTAATCTTTAGGCTACTTGTTTATTGTCAATGTCTGTTGCAATCTGAGACCATGTAACTTTCAATTGATTCCTTAATAATAAAAAAGAATAAAAAAGGAAACCTAAAAGTTGTAGGCTAAATAAATAAAAGTTGGAAATAGCACATTAAAAGTGTCAAATATTACGACATACAAACATCATTATTAGATCCAGAGTCAGAGACAATTTCTCAATATCATAAATCATTATTATATGAGAATTATTTCTAAATAATTACAAACGTTCCTTAATATGATGGCATATGAAAAAATTGAAATTCCTAATATATTCAGATATTAAAGCATAATTCCCCAGTTTCACAGACAAGTCTTAAACCTAGTCCTAGAAAATGCACGTTTGAGCTGTTTTAACTGAAAGCAACTTGTATTCGCATGTCTTAAAATATGTCACTGCCATTGTTTTGTCTCAAGATGCTCACCTAAGGCACGTTTATAAAAGCTACTTAAATGTCCTAATTGAACTAAGAAGACCTAACCATGGCTTAATCTAAGCCCTGTCTGTGAAAGAGACTCATATTTATTTAAACATGCTTCCATTGTTCGCACCTCAGTTTGGCCTTCGCTTCGCCAATCGGTTCGGCTGGGGGGGGGGAAAGAATCAGTTCAAAACAATGATTCGTTCAAGAATCAAACATGAGATAGAGAAAGAGAGAGAGGGTGAGAGAGAGACAGATCCCTCAGATCAGAGGTAGTGTGGGCGTGCACAGAGAGAGAATCCTGCAAACATCAACCAGGTGGTTATTCCTCACACATTTCCCTCTCATTTTCCTCCTCCAAGCTGCGCTGGAGAGACTTTCCTGTGCGTCACGAGGAATTAAAGTAACTTTACTGGAGCAATGCGGGAGCCGAAAATCAGCATCTCTTCGGATACAGACCCCTGAAACCCCCACAAACTCCACTCATGGCCACCGCCTGGCCACCCGCCACACAGAGCACTTTATAAGAGAGAAATCTACCGAAATCACGGAACGAGAGCCTCATATAACGAGCAACTCGCTGTTTGATCCAGATGGCGGGACACGAGTGGGATGATTGGTTTGAACGGGAGGAATTGATCGGGCAGATCAGCGACATCCGAGTGCAGAATCTGCAAGGTAAGAGTGCTGGAGGCATGGGATGGGTAAAAGAGTATGATCACGAAGACACGAACATTGGTATAGAAGTAACTGGAGTTGATCCAATGTCTCCATTCAATTCTCGCTTTGAAAAATAGATACATTTAGGCTACATGTAACAAATATACCGGCGAGATATAACAGCGTTGCGCTTTAGTGTTCCATTATGGCAAGCCAATTTAACATGCATTCCTTAACGTAGCCTACTGTATCTATTTGTATTACTCATACCTGTTTTCTAAGTATTAGCTTATAATTAATTAAGTAGTGACTGTTATATTTTTCAGTCTCACTAATAGGCTAACTATTCAGTAGGCTACTTGGATACAAGGAATGGTCACTAAATTTAAATAGTGAGTTCAACTAATTATTTTCTTATACAAGTTTAAGTAGATATATTTAGCTGGGGTACTTCAATTAGCACTGTGCTTTAGCTGTTAAGGGGCATTGTCAGCGATTTGCAGTGACATTTATCAGACATCATTCATTTTCAATGATAGGTGATTTCCAGTGACACTAGCAACAGCTGCCATTGCCAATGCAACAGAGTTGACAGATTTAGATAAAAAAATTTTTTTTTTTTTTTAGCATCTTACCATGGTTATTGAGATGATGTATCAATGTTTAATTTGCCGAAACCTATTTGACTTGGAATTAAGACAGATTAGTAGCCTATACTTGTGTGCGGTTTCTTACATTTCCTTGGCCTTCTAAAGCCCAAAGTATACTCCGGTTTTTATGTGTATGCAAGGGTCCTCGTACATGATGCAAATGTTGTCACCAAAATAGTATGTGCGTACTGTAGGCTACGCCCCCGCCCGATTTTTGTAACTTTCTACACTCAGGTCGCACATGCGCATTGAATTTGTTTTGCACAAATCAGCTGTTCCTAGGGGTGTAATGATACCCTCATGTCACGATTCGATACTTATCACGATACTGAACTCACGATACGTTAATATTGCGATACTCCAAGACATAAAAGGTTAACAGAAAAATGTACTGTTGATTAAAATGCTAAATTTGGAATTACATTGTAGGAGTAAATGAATAGGCTCGGACTTGGTGCTAGTAACCCAATGCACAGGAAAATAGTGACACCAGAATACAAATATTCATGATTCTGAGGCTGAAAATACAGAATTATTTCAGACTAATACGCTTGCACTCTGTCACTGACTAGATATAGGCTATTTAAAATAATGTAGGCCACTTTTTACTGGTAACGTAAGACATTTGGCATTATCAGGAACCACAAATATCCCCCCATTGCATTATTATATATTATGTTCAACATTATATATATATATATATAGATATATATAGATATGAGAAAAAAAATTGGAATCACATTTTAGTACACCTTAGTTAAATTACTGGCAAAATATGTATTTTAACACTAGATAACTAGAAAAAGGTGAGGCATTTCATTGGACATAGACCTGAAATGTGTTTTTTTTTTATTGTGCCATTTTTTTTTCTCTCAAAAAGTGCAAACGTGCAACATAAGGTAGGCCTGAATGCACTTATGTCTTTCCAATTTTTGCTCGTCTTGTCATAATGAGAACCGGCAGCGAATGAAGACTTTATTGATTTCTGAGTGAGAGCCGTCTTCGGGTGTGCTCTGTCTCCGGGAATATCTGTTGTTATAGTTTTGCTTTTTAAAATTAGTTTTTATTTTAATATCGTTTTCAATTTTGCTTTAAATTTCAGTTTAGTTTTAGCTAGTTTCATTAATGGTTTTGTTAGTTTTTATTTTGCAAACACATTTCTATATAGTTTTTTAAATTTTATTTAGTTTCAGTTTTAGTAATTATAGTTTAGCTTTAGCAGAGCGAGCAGAACACTTCCAGTGTAGACCAAAGCGAGACGTTTCATTTAAGTTTAATATTTGCACAGATTACAGTTAACTCTTGTGCAGACATCTTAATAATAAAAATAAAATAATGGTTTGAGATTGAACAAAGCACCAAATAAATAGAACTTAAAAGTATACAAGAAAAAAACAATGAACATTTTCATACAAACTAATTCATTAGTGTAAGGAGACAGAATAAAGGCCTACAGTTTGTACAGTATAAACCCCATTACGTCTATGGAGAGTCCCCACACAGATAGTGGACCAGTGTGTGTGTTTGCGCGCTTATGTGTGTGTCGTGTGTATGCGCGCGCTTATGTGTGTGTCGTGTGTATGCGCGCGCTTATGTGTGTGTCGTGTCCTGTTATTCATAGCCTAACGTTACATTGGGGAAATGTCTCCACGTGGATAATATTATTAGCAGTAAATGTTTTGTAAAAACAAAGTCAAAGATAATAATAGCAGCTTTCAACCTTCATGAAAACATGACATCTCAAACATAAAGTAGCCTAGAACTTTAATGTTTTTTTGTGCTTGACGAACTTGTTTTGGTGTTGCACCCGCGTCTCGCAAATGAAACGGCATTCTAAAAATGCTGCGCTCAAGTTAAAAGTCAAACTTGCGTCTCATTACCTTGTTATTTCCCATTCCACCGCAAAAGATGCATCCATCCTTTATGAACAGCCGCTTAGCACTAGCGATGTGTTCGACGTTATACGGTCCTTCATTGAACGCGTCACAGGACAGCGGTTAATCGCCTCAGCAACTTCACGCGTATGAAGCGCCAAATCAGTCATTTCCTTAAACAGCGTATTCGATTCTGTATCGTCATTAGTGTTAATTGTAAAGAGTACCAAATTGAACAAAACAATATAACTGCAAAATTTGAATTTATGAATACGGTCTCCTCGGTATCGCAAAATCCATATCATGGCACAACATAATACCGGTATTCACGTTCATACCGGTATAGCGCCCACCCCTAGTTTGTATTAATATGGACTCTATGGATCACTATTGGATCATTTATATGATTAAATAAGTATAAAATAAGTATGAGTAACAAGTAGTTAGTTTTAAGGAATAAATGTTACAGTGGCTTGCCATAGTTATTATTATTATTATTATATAGTACTTTGTATGATTAGTAACTTGACAGCTGATAGAAGGCCCCTATACATTTGAGAAGTTCAGACAACCAAGCAATAATCCTGAGTGAATTACTAAATCTGTTGGTCATGATGTAGAACCAATGGGTCACTAAAAAAGACTGAATGAATTTGGCCCCCCTTTTTTTTTAGAGACAACTTTCTAGATCAGGGAAGCAACAGTTATCTGAATATAGTCTGCATGTGACTGTTCACCTGAAAAAGCAGCATTAGGTCCTACTTATTTGACGCATAAACAAAAATAAATCGTTGCCCTGGAAAGAATTCATTTAATGAGCAGGAGTTTTACACATCACTGATTGTGCATGTTCTTGGCTTGCCATCAATTACTTTAATGTGCGCCGTTAATCGCTGCTCAGTGTTGGCCGGTGGCATTTCAGGCTGTTATATGTGTTTAGTATTGCAGGTTTCATGACTATGAAGGACTAAATACATGTCAAGAAGTGAGAGAATGAACATTAGGGCCTGTAAAGTAGCTCTCTGAAAACTTTCAAATTGAATATAAGGCCTCTAGGCTGCTTCTGTGACCTAGTGCTGTTCAATGCAATAGGGATTTAGGATGTAATGTGGCTTGGATTTAGGATGTATAGGGCTTAGTAGCAGAGAAATTACTGGAGAATATAATGAAGCATTGCAGAAAACAGATGCTGGAAGCAGATTACATAATATATTGTCTTATAAAAGCTAAAAGCAATGCCCTCTGCATTGGACCTCTGGAATTTCAATGCAATAGTCTGCAGGCCCTTGAGAGCTTCTAGATAATTTGGGATGCAGACTCATTTCAGTGCATGTCTGCTGCAGGCTTGTTTTGAAAAGGAGGCAAAATCTATATCTATGCATGCACATATGTTCCACTATACAATATTTGGTGACAACTTAAGAAGTAAAATCTTTATTGTAGATACAGATAGAAGTTACAGTTGGTGGTATATTCGCTCTTTTTCGTGATTGCCGTATCACTTTGAGGATTATTTTGACATCTGTGCACTGTGTTATGCGTGTGAAACAAATATTTTTCTTGTATTCTACTAGTTGATATCTTCACTAACAATATATGATGCTGCCTAAAACTAAATCAGATACCCATGTTGAATATATAACTTTTTTCTCACCAGCCACTGTGGTTAGTTGCTTTTTTCTTTTTTTGTACAAGTTACATTTTATAAGTGGTGTGAAGATACACTTAGCTCACGACACGTTACACAATATTGGGTTCGCGAGACAATATTTTAACACTATTTTATGAACAATGCAGGATGGGTGTGTATTTTGAAATGTTTTGACTAATCTAGGGCTGTCTGTCACTTATTATTGTTTTAGCAATCAAGTCATTAGTCGATTATGTTGACGATTAATCGAGTAATCAGATTTTAAATGACTTAAAAAACGTATAATAACAATGAGGCAATAATAATTGGTTCAAACAAAGTATCAAAAGCAAGTAATAATTTGGTTTTGTTGAACAACACTGTTAAAATACTAAATGTAATGCATAATAGAAACATAATCAAGTTATGCACACATTACGTATTATAACAAATGCCAATATTTTAGACTTTTGTGTGTGCTTTTCCCCTTATTTAGACTGAATAAAGCAGGAAGACTGAAGCTTATGCTACAAGGAAAGCATCTGTTTGTATTCAGGGTTTGACTTCGAGCTTGGTCTGTAAGTGCTTTTTATCATAAAGGTCTAAAAATCTTCTAAAATGGTGATAAACTTGCCACAAAGCAGAGCGCCGCGGATGATAGCAGTATTTAGTGCATATAAGAGTCGGACATCTGCTGAAGCGTTCTGAAGTGCTGAAACAGAGCTAGTGTGCGCTAGAGTAGAAAAAGTGCAATAAAGTAGAGATCAGTGCGAATATACTGGACTCTCATTGGATGAGTTGTCAAGCAGGACAGATTTTCATATGAAGTGTTGAATGAGAAATTGCTCAAGTACCCCCTCCCTC